CTGCGAAATTATGTAGTAATTAAAAAATGAACTTGAATATATTGGAACTATTCTTAAACCAACTCAAAATTACAGTCGAATGCAATTATTTATAAATAGATAGACTATTTTAAATAATTGTATTTTAGTTTTAATGTTTTACAATATGAAAAATTATAACTGAAAAGTTAGGTGTGTACAAAACTATCTACAATATATAATTTGAGCAATGGCATACTATTTTATTTTATTATACCCTGAACCGGGAATATTAAGTTTGCCACAAAGTTTGTAACACCCAGAAGGAAACGTCGGAGACCTAATAAAATATATATATAAATGATTACATATACTCAAAAAGACTACTTCCGCGTTTGAGATATCGATCTGATATTGTGCTCTCGTCCTTTTCTTCCCAAGAAATTCTTCGTCTGTCGGAACCACCGATATCGGACCACTGCCATACAAACTGATTGATCGTAATCAAGTGCTTGTATGAAAGGCTTCTTCATTTGATGACATAAATTCAAGAAATATGGCATGGATTATTGCCTAAGATAATGGTGTAATATTCGAAGAATTGTTTAGAATGTAGTTGAATAGTGCTTGTAAGGAATATTTTGTACGTACGTTGTTTCTTGTACTTTTTTGAATTTTAGATTAAAAAATTTTAAGCAGAAAAATTTTCCTCATCGCATATAGTCCTCTTTTTCGGAGGTTCTCCTCGAGTATCGATAGCTGATGATAAAGGAATGGATGTATTTCACAACTTATGGAATAAAAACTCTATAGCTACTATCGTTAAGCCGGTTCTGTAAACGGACTTTGAAATGAACGCGACCAAGTAATGATCAATCTGATATTTTTTGTTAATTTAACCTACTCAGTTCGGATTTCTAATTAATTTCCAGAAACTCGTCATACACACAATATCAACAAGTAAGGAAGGACTAAGTTCGAATGTAACCGAACATATTATACTCTCGCAAAGTCAAATGGTATACTCGTTTGAGATTTCTTTGTGGATTGACTGATATTTTCGGTAGAAGGTCAACTATAGGCACTGGGGTGCACATATACAGTACCTAGCGGCTTGAACAGTTTTGGTTCGATTTAGACAATTTTTGGTCAAAAGGTTACTTTAACGCATTATTCACGCAAACTTTTACCCCGATATAATCGTTGTTGCTTGATTTGCATACTGGAAAGTAAAAAAATCAGATGAAATTTAAAATGGTGTTATATGGAAGGCGTGGTTGTAATCCGAATTCGCCCATTTTCGCACTATAACTTAGAAATATGAAAATAATGTTATGTACCGAATGTGGTTGAAATCGGTTGAGCAGATCCCAAGATATGGGTTTCCTATAAAGCCATCTCATACCACCCTAGAGATAAAATTTAATGTCTCTGGCGTGTTTAGTGCTTGGTTTATCGCAGTTTTAGTACTTTTTAACAGTATCGTTATATGAGGAGTGACCGGGGTTGTCACCCGATTTCACCCATTTTCACACTGTCGATAGGGGTACTAAAAAAATTTGTTCTCAGTGAATTTTGTTATTATAGTTCTAGCGGTGTAGGAGTATGCACATTAAACCTATTAAGGGGCGGGACCACGCCTACTTTAAAAAAATATTTTAAACTGCAGATGCCCCTCCCTATTGTGATCCTGTATACCAAATAACAGTCTTGTATCTTATTGTGGAGCTTAGTTATGGCAATTTATTTGTTTTTGATTAATAGCGTTTTGTGGGCGTGGCAGTGGTCCGACTACGCTTATCTAAAATATCAACCGTCTTACGGTACCAAGAAACATGTGCCCCAAGTTTCATAAAGATATCTCAATTTTTACTCAAGTTACAGCTTGCACAGACGGAGGGACGGACGGACAGACAGACAGTCTCCCGGATTTCAACACGTCTCTTCATCCTGATCATTTATATATTATATATATAACCCTATATCTAACTCGATTAGTTTTAGGTGATACAAACAACCGTTAGGTGAACAAAACTATTATACTCTGTAGCAACAAGTTGCGAGAGTATTAAAAGCGCATTTCTCATATTCAATATAGAGCAGCTTATGAAATACGGTTTTACGTGCCACGCAACAAAACAAAAAATAGAACTCAACTAACTGTTTTATGCAACAAAAGCCTTCTACACGCGCCTTATTTGTTTCGTGCTCATTTTCCAGGCTAAGTCTTCTATCACAAGTAGATCTGCAATGCCATTTCGTTATCAGCTGCGACTAGTGCTCTATAATGCATTGTTTTTCTAACCTGCCGATTTACTTTAGTTTCTTGCTGATCTGTTAGATACTCGTACTCTCTATTTTCGCTTTCCTTGCTGTTACGAATTTTCCTTAGCACTTTTGCTCAGATATTCAAAGAAATATTGCAGAGAATGTAACGCGTTGCATAAGCAATGCATACTTTTAGGAGCAGATACATATGTGTAGAAATGTACACCCCAACATCATAATACGTGTCTTTGAAAGTAAACCAACGGCGCTTGTAAGTGGTATGAATTCAGAGAATGCAACAAAATACAATATAAATTTCTTCAAGAGACGAAGAGACGCACAATAAATACAAACTAAGAAACAACAAAAAAAAATCAACAATGGCCCTAGAGAATGATAAATCATTGTTGACTGAAGCCAGCGAATATGGCGGAAGAGCGGCGAGGAAAAGATAAATAGTTGAGACATAGCACACACACAGGCATGTGGAAAGACAAATGCGCTTTCGTGCGCAGCACAAACGAGTGCAAAGAACGAGCAAAACCAACGGAAGCAAAATAAAATACAAACAGCAACGCAAAACTTGGCAGATGCACACAAGACCACAACAAAGGTGCAGTTGCAACAAATATAAGAAAGGAACGACAAGAATAAAAAATAATAAAAATCACGCAATCTCCAGCCGGCTGTCTTGTCTGCTTGCGCTTTCTACACGAATGGCTAGCATACTTTCCGGCGTATGCATCACACAGTTCTAGTGTGTGAGCCAAACACCATACACACGAGAGTTCATGCAAGTGTGCGTGTTAGCGCTCTGTGTGTCTTCGTGCTGATAAGGCATACATGCTATCGCAGCACAACACGCGCTCTCCGCTCACTGATTGGAGACGAGCAACTGCGAGAATGTGTGTAACTAGATATGTTTGGCACTAAAGATTTATTTTAGCGGGCAATATGGAAGACGTACGACCACAACAAGTTCATGAAATTTATGCTTGCACGCATTTTAACGCTTTATTGAAGTGTAAAAAGTGAACTAAAGCATGTTGTACTACTTCTAGGGGCACACGCTAGGTGATAGTCTGTACATGGAAGGCACTTAACAGACGGTGCAAAATTGGTGTGAGTTGAAAAAGGAAGAAATCGATTGTAATTAAAATGTTAGACCTAGAATAATAATTTAGTGTTTATCAGAATTATTTTTATTTCATAATTTATCTTAAAAATTAGAGTAAAAAAAAAAATAGGTGATAGTGCAGCAATATAAAATATTCTTAAAATATATTCGGTGACACTTCTTTACCAGTTATGAAACCGTATGCTCCTAAAATTCGGCAAAGTTTCGTAAAATAAATGTATTTTGACAAGTTTAAAATTCAAGAGCATACATTTAGGCCACTTATAGCTTTGTTTTTATTGCAGTTTACCAGCAGTAGCCGATTGATCAGAAAACAGACTTAATACCCATTTGACTTCAAATATAAATAGTTTCTTCCAATAATTCAACTCATAAATTTTATTGCTTTATATAAGAACGTTACGTAATACTGAAGCCGTCAATTATTCATGGGTGTTTTGCAATCCAAGACAAATTTACGTAGTTGGCAGAATTGCAAACCAATTCTAATTTTCAATAGTGTCACAGAATCTGATTAGATTTTCGTCTTTCCGAACATATGCAAAACCAATATTCGAATCAGCAGATTACTAATGTGACAGTACTTGCGAATGTACAAATTTTGAAGTGTTTGATAAATTTAACAAACTGAATAAAGTCCATTAAAGTTTACAATGAGTTCCATTATTTTAGCTTTTATTTTATTGAAAAAAAAGCAACGAAAAATTAGAAGGAATATATTAAGAGATCACAGTAATCCACTTGATGTACCAGGGAATCGCTTGTGAAATATAACTTGCATTTACTTGTATCCTTGTAAACATGCTTTCTTTACAGATTTATATCACATTATCGACCGAATAAAGACGCATTTGGGTGTTAAATTACGTTTATTATACTTTGTAAATCCTCTCAAATATCTGGATTTTTTCCATAAACTCAATAATTATGACATTTTGGGTTAATAATAATATAAATTAATTTATTAACTTACATTTCAAATCTTTCAGCGACTATCTTCTTGCTTTGCTTCTGATAGTAAGACCGCTAAAATTGGTTTCCGTGACACCCAAAACCGATATAATTTCTGTCTCGAACGTCAAACCAATAATATCTAAATTTATGATACGTACTACATTTTTTTGTTATCGGTTTCAATTCTCATTCCGACAATTATCAGATTCTACAACACCCCTGATTAAGAAAGGATATAGGGAAACTTTCTTTTCAACTTAAAATACCTTTAGATATGAAATGTGTGGATTATCGAAGAAGATACTGAAAAGATAACTGTTTAAACGGATAATTTAAATTTAGTGTTTTATAGGTTTTTGTTTTATCAAGGTTAGAGGATCGAACTACTAAGTGAGGGCGTAGTTTTTACCTCCTACATATCCCCTAACTTCGAAATTTTAATGTATGAATTGTGGTTTTGTAGATTTGGGTGTTCTACTCGTAAATGCCAAGTATTATGAAACGATTTAAATTTACCGTAATTTATTATATTTATATGCATATAAACATTAAACTGATTTCTCTGCGAAACCCTTCCCAGTATTCTTACTACAAGTATTTTTTCCTATACACTACAACATGCACTCGTATGTCACTTATAACTTTCGACGAAGAAAAATCACCTTAATAAACTAGAGCTTACCTTTTGTTTGCGTTGAGGACACATCCATCGGTTGTGCATGTAATTGCTGCGATTCCAGAAAACGTCGCTGATGCAAACATGCCAAGGATGATGACAACGACCCCAACGCTGACGATGCAGACGTCGACGACGACGACGACGACTGTGAGGACTGCGAGGACGAGGATGAGGAGGAAAACGGCGAGAGGGACGACGTTAACGCAGAGCGTGTAGCAACAGATGTTGGCGTGGAACAAAATGTATTCGTCGTTGAGGCGGGTGTGATGGCATTCGTGTTTGTGGAGTTAGTGGTGATACAGCCATTTTCGTCGTGCGTTGGCATTTTCAGTGGCATATTAGGAACCTGCAATAATAGAAGAAGAATACAAATAAAATTAAATGAAAGTTATGCACAGGGAAAATTAGTTATTATGTGTGTGTGGAAAGTGGATTTGGGCGAATGGAGATAAGCAAGCTTTGGAAATACATACTTGAAGTGCGGAGGAGGAAAACATATATTGCAGACAAAAGGTAAATTAGCTTGCGCCAAATTAAAGAAAATCATATTTTGCGAATACGTGAATAATGGGTATGAGCGGCTGGCGGGAAGTGAAGTGGGGTAGAGTGATATTCAGCAAAGACATTTATGAGAACTGATTGAAGATGGATTTTCAATTACAAGTGTATTTTTGTGTATATATTGACAGCAGTTTGATTTCCGTAGTTATAATTGCATTTGACAGGAGCAAAAGCGTGGAGAAATGAAACAAAAGACGTACTAGTAAATTGAAGAGGGAAATAACAGTGATTTTGATTTGAACAAAAGTTGAAAGATCGATATAATTAAGGCTTGTGAAGAAGATGTGGCAGTATTCGCCGAAGTTTCCCCATCTGATCAGCGAGAACAAAAAAAAGAGTTTTGTCGTGAGGCGTCAAGGATAGGCGCACTTCTTCTTAGAGTGTCCGCAAACAATTGCAGTCCATGGAACTCAAGTAACTCAAATAGATACGACTTGAATTCAGATTACTTTGGTTGGCAAATGTGAATTCGGCTAAGGGGATACTTTAACTGTTCTCCTATATCAAGGCAATGTTTTGGGACGTTAGACGGTGTTACGGACGATCTTGAATGATGTTTTGTAAACGTGAATGAAATATGAGACCAGCACAAATTTTTCAGATCGAATAACTATAGCATATAGCTGCCAAACAAACTGATCGATCTAAATCAAGTACTTGTATGGAAAACATTTATTTTACTATATAACTTCACGAAATTTGGCTTGGATTAAGTTATTCAATTGTGTTGTAGAATCTGATAGTTGTCGGAATTAGAACTGAAACCGATAAAAACATGTAGTAGCTGTCATGAATTAAAATAGTATTGGTTTGACGTTCGAGACAGAACTTATATCGGTTTTGGGTGTGACGGAAACCAATTTTATCGGTTTTATTATCAAAAACAAAGCAAAAGGATAGTCGCTGAAAGATTTGAAATGTAAGTAAAAGAAATAATTTATAATAATATTAACACCAAAGGTCATAATTATTGAGTTAAATTTCACATGCGATTCGCCTGGTACATCAAGTGGATTATTTTGAACTTTTAATGTCTTCCTTTATATTTTTTCCTTGATTTGAATAAAATAAAAGCTAAATTAGCGGAAAACATTGTAAAATTTAATAGACTCTATTTAGTTTTTTAAATATATAAAGCGCTTTAAAATTTATTCATTTGTAAGTTTTCATTAGTAATCAGCTGATTCGAATAGTGGTTTTGCGTATGTTCGAAAAGACGAAAATCCAATTAGATTCCGTGACACCATTAAAAACCAGAATTCGTGTGCAATTCTGACACCTACGCAAATCTCCCCTGATTATGTTGAGTTCAATGGAAAATAATATGTGTATACCTCACTAAATTATTATAACTGTTAATAAGCATATTTGATGATACGAGTATATTGTATTTCTACTATTTGTTTGTTTGATTAAGCAATTTCCAAAGGCTATTAGTATATATGTACAAATGCAGGTAAATATCTAAAGATTTTTTCTTTAATTAAGCAGAATTACTTCTCAATTTTAAGTGTGCTTTCTTTGTTTAGTCTTTACCTTATTAATTTGTAATAGACTTTACACTTCAACTTCTTATGCTCTAATTACTTCATATTTTTGCTTGTTTGCTTTTGAACGTGTTCATAGAAATCAAATTGATTTCTCAAAGATTCGACTGCGCTTTTTCATGCTAATGAGCTTTTCCTCTGCGTTTATTCAACTTTGGCACAGAGCAAAGGCAAATCCACCTTTTACTCACTCAGTAAATGGAAAGCAGCTCTATAACTATAGATATATAGTATGTGTGGGTATATATTATATAAAAAATACCACTGCAGGTTTTCATAAATCACCGTTCAACGTAAAAGGTGCCAAATTAATCGCAGAAAAAGATGAAAAAGTAAACAAATCGCACACTAACTACAAAAGAGTCGGAACTCAAAAAAAAAAAAAAGAAGAAATTTCATTGTCATCAGTATCTTACTTAACTGAAATATCACAGTTAGGTGTACTTTTGTGTTAATTGCATCTTTTTCCCCGCTTGTGCAGTATAAACTAAAGAATACCGCTTTTGCTGAAATAAATCGCAAAATTTTCTGCTGTATTCTGCGAAGTTGTGTCTCTTTATTTGCAAAAAGTGAGTTTAATCATTTGTATTATTTGAAATGTGTCACTTTCGATAAAATAATTGTGATTATTCGATGTCTTTAAAATGTCCTTTAATTTCTCTGTTAAACTGGAAAATCAATAATATTTGAGTAATAGGCTCTTTGAAGAAGGTACTCTACTTTATGGACGACGATTTGACTGTAAAATTCCAATAGTTTTTATATTTTTTACTGCTCCTGGACATTTATAACTTTTCGAGTTGTGACTCTTTTGTAGTTAATGTGCGAAATGATTTCGGTGCAAATACAAATTCAGTTTGGAAAAAATGCCGCAGCAAATTGCAGTTACGCGCTAAATTCGATTTGACTTCCTTCGTTTGCGTCCTCTCCCAATAGTTTTCCTGCCGGCTGACTTGAAGTGTGCACAAGACAACTTGCAGGTAAATTACATTGCCATTCCCACAGTAAACACCAATTTTTCCGTTTTTTTTCAAACTTTTGCCGAAACTGGTGCCGCGAGACTTACAATGATGCAACAATAATGTTTTAGTACAATAAGTTTGTGTGTGTGTCGGTGGGGGTTTGTGTAGTGCATCAACCAAACAAATTGAAATTATTTCGGAACGGCCGATATCGGACCACTATAGCATATAGCTGCCATACAAACTGAACAATCGGAATCAAGTGCTTGTATGGGAAACTCTTTCATTTGACGAGGTATCTTCACGAAATTTGGCACGGATTATTATTTGAGGCAACAATATAATCTCCGAAGAAATTATTCAGATCGGATGACTATAGCATATATATATAGCTGCCATACAAACTGAAAAATCGGAATCAAGTTCTTGTAAGGGGCCTTTGTATTTGTGAAGGGTATTATAGCTTCGGCGCAACCGAAGTTAACGTTTATTCTTGTATAAAAAGGTCTTTGTTTTGATTTTGAACGGTGAGTTTATTCGATGTAGCTATATTCTATAATGCTTCGACCTGAACAGTATAATCGGAGATTGTAGTGATGTTTTAGATAATAATCTATGCCAAATTTTGTGACGATTTCGCAGCTTCTTGGTGAGAATAGAAAGTGTGAAAAATTTCAGGCCGCTATCGCAAAAACAAAATCAACTCTGCTCGTCCCGCTGAGCATTTTTACATAGATTTCATAGGGTCCCCGAAGTTTCCAACCTCGTGGCAAACTTAATATATCCTGTTTATGGCATAAAAAATTAGAGCATTCTATGTAGTAAGTGTGCTCGCGCGGTTTGTCGTTAACGTTACCTCACGATTACGGAATTTAACGCCAAGAGAAATGGTGAATTTAGAAAACATCCAACATTTTAAAAACAGCAACAACACCAAGAACAATTCAACCATGAGCTCAGAGTACTTGAGTGCGATTGTTGCAAATGTTCCCTAACACGCTTTTGCCAAAAGTACACTTTAAGCGATTGCCAGCCGCCACCTTCACTGCCCTCAACAAGAAAACGACTGACCGAACTAAAAACCCGATTTCAACTCTCTCCTTCTCCGTCTTTTGAAAAGGGCAAATGACTGCAACTGCAACTCTCCACAAATAGCAACTGAAGCTTTATGTAAAGCGAAACGTAACTCAGTTTTGTTGGTAGCGGCGGAAGGGAGGTGGAGGAGAGGGCGCCATGTTTTCGCTGTCACATTGGCGAACTTTGATTGTCAAAGAAAATGCAGCGCACTGAGTGAAATATAATGGCAACCGAGCAAAGCACAGCAATCAGCATTCTAAAGTGGGTGTGATGAAGCGAAGTAGAAAGAAGTAGAGGAAGAAGGCAAAAAGAAAATGCTGAAAAATTAAATAAAGGGTCGGTGTCTTACGCGTACACATAGCGGTGCTAAGCGAAAACTTTTCGGGGTCACCGTGAAATTCAAAAACTTTCGCAAAGATAAATAAAAAGAGAAATACAACAACAACTATATGGTATATATTATATATCGATCACCATATTTCACTGCTTCACAGTTCTTTTGTTGTGGAAAAGATGGAATGTAATTTGCTGCCAAAAGTTATGCAATTTCACCGCTGGATAACATCGAAAGAAAATAATGCCCAAAAACCATTAAACCGTTGCAGCAGCTGCTCCAAACTTCACTGATGGACCGACTCAGTACATTTTTATTAATGCCGCCATCCCATTTTAGGTGTATTTAAAAAGTATCTGAATTTTTGAAAAAATTTCGTTTAGGCAACAAAAGCCATGGCTAACTAACCCTGTCAACAAAACCTGTGACTAATTTCTGTTCCAGAAAATCAAATATATGCTCGGAAAAGCGCTGTATAACTCGATTGATGTCATAAAATAAATTCGATAAAGGTGATACTTCAGATACTTAATGTTATATAGAAAGTGGGAAAAATCATCAATGAACGCTATATTGTGCAATTGTATTTCAATCATCTTTTTTTGGAGTCACATGACTTTTCACGATATTTACTACTGCGGTTCTCCCGAAACTATACAGCTAATTTTTTCTGTTAAAGTTACTTGTATATGTAATAAATACCTCAATCCGGTAATATTTTAGATATTTAAAGTGAATTGTAGATTGGACATCAGTTCGATAGCAATTCAGGGTGAATTTAGATTTTTTGCAGCAATTTCGAAAAAATTATAAGTTATTTTTGCATATTTCGATAGTTTATACCTTTAAAACTACCATTATATAA